ATATATATATTTATTTATTATTTGAAGCAGCCTTCAATGGGAAATGTGCTTTTCCAAACTCAAATGCCTCACATGTTGATAAAGAGTTGAATGTGATTGAAGATCTGTGCAGAACATCAGCAGGGAGTGTGTCTGAATGTGGAGATTTTCTCAGCAGGGAAAATGATCCTCATCTGGCGGGTGAGAGCTGGTAGCTAGTCAGGCGGAAAGACGTCCTGCACAACATGCGACCCAGTGAATCATATGTAGCGGGGATATGTGGTGATAAAAAGAAAATTCAATGACTTGAGGGGCCTTAAATTCATTTTCATCCTCGCTCCCTGGGGAGACAGTAGAAATCTATAGCTTGTGTGTGAGGAGGGATATTTTTTAATGACTGACTGAAATGATATTTTGAAGAGATGATATGTTAGAAGCTTGGCTATGCATAGCACCTGTTTTTAAATGACTGGAACTGTAGATTCCCTGTGTCTCTCCATCTGTTCATGTTCTCACCTTCCTGTCACACACACTCTCTCTCTCTCCATCCCCCCTTCCTTCACAGCCTCACCAAGCTTCACAGAGAATTGCTGTGGGAGTTCTCCACCTCCCTGTTAGCAAAGGTGTACCTGTTTGCCAACTTTCAGAGCAAGTGAACTGAGCAGGTTTGATTTCCCAGATGACATATCGTATGAGCATCCTCTCCTGTCATCCAATTTCTGTCACTCCAAAACCAAATGCCTGCTTGAGGGAGCCCATTTTCTTTCTATTAGAGCACAACCGTGTTCAGTTTTATTAGCTGTCATTTGGCATTTGCATGGGAGGACAAAGACTACAATAACATGCCAATAAAATAAAAAGTATATGATGAATGTTGAAAAGAGAAACTGAACACATAAAAAACTGTTGGTTGGTTCTTGTGAAACATTTCAAATTTGATCATGATTTCTTTCTAGTGGAGAGATTTACAAAATGCACCTCATCTCTGAAAACTTAATCTAACAGGATAAAGTGAGGCAAAAGTTGCCTAGAGCACTTATAATAAGGTCTTTATACTGCTGCATAATTGATGCATTCTAACTTGAAGGAAGAGAAAGAACTCAGTGGGAAGTGAGGCACATTCTGTCAATGACAGTGAAACCTAATTATACTATGCTGCCCCTGCAGCCACGGTGGATGTTGAAGTGGGCAGTAAGGCAGTCGATGGGGAAGACACACCACCTGCCATGGGCGTGTAAGCCTTCAGGTGACCTGAAAGGACCGGTTTACCGCATTTAAAATGAATCAGAAGATAATAGGGAGCCTCCTCTTGTCCCTTACTCCCAGTCTGTCCTTATCTGTTATGCAGCAGTGGGGTGGGACTGTCCCCAGCCCTCTGAGAGGGTCACTTAGACATTTACTGAAGTCCCCTCTGTAATGCAATAAAGAGGCAATAAAGTCCTCAGTTATGATAAAAAAAAATTTATGAACCTGTGGACATGACAAGTTAAACAGAGAAATGGTCTATTAGCAGGGATTCATAATTCATAACAGAATAAAATGGCCACAAGATCATAGTCATATAACATGGAAGTGTTTGTTTTTCTGCCATATATTTGGAAAAGAAATTGTATTGGAAACATAAATTGGAAAACAAACCTGAGAGCTGAAAGTCACTGAGTACAGCATCTGATGGGGAAAAAACTAATAGAAGTGGTGCCCAGATTTCTCAAATTCTAAAGAAAACCTGCTATATTCTGTCATAGTCTGTATTTATTTTCCTTGGTTTTCCTAGTGTTTCTGCTCCCCTGTGTGTCTCAGCTCAGCTGCCCCACATAACCCTGATTGTCACCCTCGTCTTCTTCTTCGTTATTTTTTGGCAGTTGACAAACAACGTTAAGGTGCATTACCGCCACCTACTGGTGTGGAGTGTGGAATGGAACAGCTCTAAAAAAAAACAACCCTATATTCTTTCATACAGTCGAGTCTGTCTTAAAGACTTTAATAACAATTGAAAGGTTTCAGAATTTGAATTCGTAATATTTCTATAATATCAAATCTTATTTTGATTTCATTGAGTCTTTTAATCAATTGATTTCTTTCATTTTGGTATTTTTTGCAATGTATTAAAACATGTTCTATATCCTCATCTTCTCCACAGTAATCACATTTTCCAGTATTATGTTTTCCAATTATAAATAATGATTTATTTAATCCTGTATGTCCTAATCTGAGTCTTGATATGACTATTTCCTCCCTTCTGTTTCCTCCAGCATTCCTCATTTCTCCCACTTTCCGTTGAATTTTATACAACCATCAACCTTTTCTTTCTTCCTCCCATTGTTTTTGCCATTTCTGTCTCATTTTCACCTTTATAATGCTTTTTATTTCTGTTTTACTGAATTTTAGTTCATCAACGACTTTATTTTGGTAGCCTTTTTTGCTTCTTTATCTGCCATTTCATTTCCTTTTATTCCTATGTGTGCTGGTATCCAGATGAATGTTACTATTAATCCCATCATTTTAATCCTGTACAGTGTTTGTTGTATTTCAAATAATATGTCTGATCTACTTTCTGAACTATTATTTTTTATACTGATTAATGAAGAGCTGGAGTCTGAACAAATTATTGATCTGAGTGGTTTATTATCCTCAATCCATTGAACAGCTAATAATATTGCTAACATTTCTCCTGTATATACTGATAATTTATCACTGATCCTTTTCCCTACTTTTACTTATAATTCTGGTACTATGAATGCTGCTCCGACTTGATCTACTGTATTTTTTGATGCGTCTGTATATATTTGAAGATAACCATAATATTGATTAATATAATCTATGACTGTATTTGAGTTTATAGTACAATTTTTTCCTAATAGTTTCAGATCTACTGATGGTTCTGCAAATATCCATGGATGTATGACTGGTAGTGGTATTGTTGGAATAACATCTATGTTATTGATTTGTATTTCTGTTGTTTTCTGATTTATGATCCAACCAAAACTTTTAGTTTCCTTTTTTTTTCCTTTTCCCAGCATGATTGTAAYACTTGTTGTGTTGGATGATTTTATTCATGTCCTTTTAAATTTACCCAATAATGTAATGCTAACTGTTCTCTCCTGATGTCTAGTGGTGATTCTCCCATTTCTGCTAATATTGCTCCTGTGGGTGTTGTTTTAAATGCTCCTGTAATTATTCTTAATGCCTGATATTGAATATTGTTTAAGTTTTTTAAAGATGTGTCTGATGCTGAATTGTAAACAATGCTTCCATAGTCCAGTGTTGATCTGATGAGTCCTGTATAAATAGTTTTGAGTGACTTCCTGTCTGCTCCCCAGTCTCTTCCTATTAAACATCTTATTATATTTAATGTTTTTTTACATTTATCCTCTACTTTTTGGATATGAACTGACCATGTTATTCTCTCATCAAACCATATTCCTAGAAATTTAAATTGTTTCACACGCTCAAGAACTTTTCCATATAATTTAATTTCGACATTGTTAATAATCTTTTGCCTTGTAAAAATGACTATTTTAGTTTTCTCAACAGAGAATTTAAATCCCCATTTTTGTGARCAATTTTCCACCTTCCTAATTTCTGTCTGTATCTTCTTTGCTATAAATTCTATATTTTTCCCTCTTTTCCATAAAGCCCCGTCATCTGCAAATAACGACCTTCCATCCCCTCTTCTATAACATTAAACATATCATTTATTAGCAAAGAAAATAATAATGGACTGACTATACTTCCTTGAGGTGTACCGTTTTCTATTACATATTTGTTTGAADATTGTTGACCTATTTTTACCTGTATTTTTCTTTCTGATAAAAAATCTTRGATCCATTTAAACATTTGTCCTTTAATTCCTATCTTCTTTAATTTTATAAGTAAACCTTCTCTCCACATCATGTCGTAAGCTTTCTCTACATCAAAAAATACAGCTACTACACTCTATTTATTTAGTTGTGCTTTCCTAATTTCATGCTCCAGACATAATACTGGATCCATCGTATTCCTTCCTTTTCTAAACCCGCTTTGAAATGTTGACATGTGTTCTTTCTTTTCTATATAATATGTTAATCTTTCATTTATCATTTTTTCCATTATTTTGCAAATGTTAGATGTTAAAGCWATTGGTCTGTAATTTCCTGGTTGTGTATGATCTTTTCCTGGTTTCTTTATCGGTATGATTATTGCTTCCTTCCATGATTGTGGTAATTTTCCTTCMTCCCATACTCTGTTATATAGTTCTAATATAATGTCTTTTGACTTATCACTAAGATTTTTTATCATTATATAACATATTTGGTCTTGACCTGGTGTGGATATTTCACATTTTTGTAATGTTCTATTTAATTCAGTTTTATTGAATGGTATATTTATTAAATCATTTCCACATTCCTCTTCTTCTAATAATGTTCTATTCTCTAATATGGTTTTTCTCTTCCTTTTCTTCCTTCTTCACTAATATTGTTTTTACCAAGAATTTTAACAAAAGTTTTAGCTAGTATTTCAGCTTTATCCTTATTTTCAACTGCAATTATTTCTCCGTCTTGTATTATTGGATATCCATATTCTTGTTTTATTCCATTCATTCTTTTAATCATTGACCAAACTTTGCTTATTTCAGTTTCTCTTCCCACCAAACTACAAAAACCTCTCCAATATTCTTTTTTCGTATTTTTTTTTGTTTTTCTTACTATACTTTGCCTTTTTTTATACTCTATTAGATTTTGATTATTGTGATTCCTTTTTTGCATTTTAAAAGCTTTATTTCGTGACTTAATTGCTTTTTCACATTCTTTRGTCCACCATGGTACTATTTTTTTCTTATTCTTTCCTCCTTTCTTCTTTATTGATTTGTTTGCTGCCTCCATAATAGCTGAACATATTGCTGTATTTAATTGVTCAGTGTCTACATTTAAATCTATTTTTGCCATTTCCTTATCACCTACTTCCAAAAATGTTGCCCAGTTAGCGTTATTTAAACTCCATTTTTGTGTTCCTCTCGTATCATACCTCTGTGCTTCTAACTCTAGTTTGATTATTATGGGATGGTGGTCACTTCCTATTGTTGTGTCTTTGAGAACTTGCCATGAACTGATTCCTGCCAGAGAGTCTGATACTATTGTAAAGTCTGTTGCTGATTCTTTTCCTGTTGTTACATTTATTCTTGTAGTGCTACCATCATTTAAACACACCAGATTTTTAGTGTCCATAATTTCTTCTATTAGTAACCCACTGTGATCATTTTTATCACCCCACAATGTGTTATGCCCATTAAAATTACCACACCATATTGCTTTCCCATTTAACTGTTCAATAATGTCATTTAATATTTCTGTTGATAATTTTTTACCTGGATTYTAATAATTTATTATTTTTATGTATCCATTTTTTGTCCATGTTTCTATTATTATAAATTCTAAATTTACTCCCCTTTTTTAAACAATCTATAGTTTATTCCTTCTTTAATG